TGTTGAATATCATTTGTGATAAGAAAAGTAGTCTGCTTAAAAAGTCCTGTAGAAAATATATGATAGAATGCCGCGACGTGATGCATCAAATGTTACCGCTATGGACAAAAGGAGGGTAAATAATGACAAAGTCGCCGATTTCTTTAAGAATCTAAAGAAATTCCTGCTAACAATGTCCAGAGACAAAATTGACTTAAATGCAGTAACTATGTGTAAACAGAAGCCTGATGAATCCATCCTAGTATTCATAAAACGCTTTATGCACTGTTGGACAAGCTAGAGGTGCAAATTCAGCTCAGTTTTCCAGCAGCCGCAGACACCCAAGGCAAAAATGAATTTGTGTATTTCATTTAACATAAAGGGTGAAATGTTTGCTGACACTGATAACAGCTTATGTTTTCTCTGCCCTATGTACCGACATGATGGAGAAGGAACATCCTCTGTGTCAGCTGGACCCTCAGCAGAGAATGAACTCAACATCCTTTTTGTCCGGTACTCTATGTCACACACTGTGCCAAAAAAACGTGTACAGACGCCACTAACAGGTAATCCCATATCTGGGAGCCACACTTTTGTTTCTCTCACACTGTTCAACAACATGATAACTGCTCACACAAGTGAAGGTCAAACAGTGATTTTGTCACATAACTCAGACATAGTTTATGACATAACTACACCATGTCGTCACATAGATCTAACCTACCCTATCCACTGTACTATTTCTGCAGTTACATTGCCAGCTGAATACCAGAATATGACATTATGGTCAAAAAGTGAGAATGATATAGGATTTATTGACTGCATACCTTATCACGCACAGCTAAAAAAACAAAAAGCGAGTATATGTCAGGCAATGTCCCCTTTCCACGGAAAAAGCCGCAGCTCTAGATGTCATCATAGGAGATTTATTGACTACAGGAGCAATAAAGCCCACACTCCTGTCAATCCTGTGCCAAAGCCTAACAAACCTGGCGTATGGCGTTTCATACAAGACTTAAGGCAAATTAATGCAGTCAACATTCCTCTGCCACCTCTCGTTTCAGATGTTCACAGCATATTGACATGCATTGCATACACATTTTACCGTGGTGGATTTATGCTCCGCTCCTTTTTCTCATGAAGACACACAGCCGTTATTTGCATTCACACATAGAAATAAGCAGTACACTTGGACTCGTTTGCCCCAAGGCATGATAGACGGCTCTGCTGCTTTCTCAATGGTGCTTCACTCCTCCAGGGCTGCACCCTGATCCACATGTGGATGACCTCCTCCTCTGTGCTGAAAGTGAAAAACTATGTCAAACTGCTACACACATGCTTCTCCAGCACCTCCAAAAGACTGGCCACAAAGCATATGCAAAGAAAATGCAGTACTGTCAGACTTCTGTTCAATATTTGGGATTCACACTGTCTCACGGAAAACGTTCCACGACTGCAGACAGGGTCAAAGCTGTGACCTCCGTCCCTCGTCCCACTACACAGAAGGAAATGTCGTCCTTCTTAGGCATGGTGAACTATTGCAGACAGTGGATACCAGACTGTTCTTTTCATGACCACATTCTGCGTGACTGTTGTAAAAAAGACAAGCCTCCTCGAATACTGTGGTCCACAGAAATGACTGTCTCTTTCAATGCATTAAAGGGAGTGCTGATCTCCGCCACTCAAAGGTGCTGTCCGTGGTTGTTCAGGAATGCCGGCCTGCCTGAGGGCAGTAGCAGCTTGCTCTATCATGATAAGGGACTGCGAGAAGTTTACACTCTCACATGACACTATTCTATACACCAATCACCAAGTCACGACCATTCTAGCAAACATAACTAAACAACATATGCAAATCTCACATTTATTGATCCTATGCTGTGTTCTTCTGACCGACAGGATGGCTCAGACAAGCTTGACGTTCATGACTGCATGACACGTATACAGGAATCCACAGCACCACGTCCAGATTTAGAGCAAACACCTATCTCAGACTCAGCCACGGTTTATGTGGACGGGTCCTGTTCAAGGCCGAATGACAACTCATTTCTTTGTGGCTATTCAGTGGTAACAGTGCCTGACATCATACTAGAGGCTCACTCATTACCATTTCACTCAGCACAAAAAGCAGAGCTCATGGCTTTAATACGCGCCTGTGAGCTACATTTGGATAAGCATGTGACGATTTACACAGACAGCCGCTATGCATTTGGCGTTGTGCATGACTTTGGCACATTGTGGAGACAGAGAGGATTTAGATCTGCTGATGGAAAATAAATTGCTAAATTCTGATTTTGTTCAAAGACTTTTTCAGGCTATACAGCTGCCATCGGCCGTTGCAGTTGTAAAAACGAAAGGACACAGTACAGCTGACACAGACGAAGCAACAGGTAATGCCTTAGCAGACGTGACAGCCAAGGCTGCAGCTGCATCACAGCTCCCACCTCGACAGGAAGTATTATCTGTGCCCCTACAGCTGCCACTTGTTACACTCCCAGACTATTTAGACACAAATGTTGATTTAAAATTCATACAAGAGCAAGCCTCTGCATAGAATAATGACTGTACCTTAGATGACAGAGATGGCCTATACAAAATCTTAAGGGTTTGATTGCCCTCCCATATTCCCTGATGCCAGTCCTTGTCCGACATTTTCACGGTGTGAGTCATGTCGGACAAAGAGGGGTAATAGGGGCAATAAAATCAAGATTTGTAATTGAGAAAACATCACATGCAGTAAAAAGCATATTAGCAACCTGTCTAACATGTGCGCGAACTAATGTAGGTAGCTCAAAAGCGAAACATCAGCATTTACCACAACCAGATTTTCCATTTCATACATTACAAATTGATTTCACACATATGCCAGCACAAGGAAGCATCAAGTACTTACTGGTAATAGTGGATCAATTTAGTAAATGAGTAGAAGCTTATCCAACCTCAAAAGAAACTGCAGAAGTAGTCTGTCAAAAGTTGAGCAATGAAATAATACCCAGATTCGGAATACCTCACCAAATTAACAGTGATAGAGGACCTTCATTCACATTAGAAGTAATTCAAAAGTGTGCTAAAACTTTAATGACCTGGGTCAAATTACTTACTCAAGTCCTGTGTGAGATTAGAATGACTCAATCTGCAGTAACCAAATTATCTCCATTTGAAATAAGACTATTTCCAAGACCATGGTCAGCTTCCAGAGGGGCACCGCTAGTAGAAGGTGATGTATATTGCATTGTCCACTGATGTTCACAACCTGGTAGAAAAACTGAATAATAACTATCAGAAAGTTTGTCTCTCTCAGCTTTTCCCCTCCACAGTTCCACCAGTGGAGACAAGGAGATGCATGTTGGAGAAGCCACTAAAACCAAGGACACTCTGGGAGGCCGCGCGTGTTCCAGCCCCAGACTGTACTGGCAGTGACGAAGAACCAGCATCCTCACAGACGGACAACCTCAGTGGATTCATGCCAGCAGGGTTAAGACCAGCCCAATCGGACCATCTCAGGCGTCGGATCAAGTAGATGACATCTCCGGCGAGCCAGCGCCCGGATCCAGTGCACACACACAATCACTGATTAACACACAACGTCTGAAAGAACAACAACAAGGTACTCAAACATCCAGCAGGAACAGAAAGCCAAAAGTACCACATGATGTCTAACCTGATAAAGCCAGACTCATTTCATCCTGATCATGGAGAAAATGAAATGCCCATTGTCATCATACGACGCTTATTCTGTGTCTCTCGAACCTGGGACCAGGCCAGAAGACGACTGAAGAACTGTCTTTTTTATATATTTAGGTTATTAATCATATCTACTGCATTAACCTTAGGATTTTTATTTACTATTTCATATTGTAAAGTGCAACCCTGTTCACATTTCTGCAAGCCACATTTTCAATGATAACCCATATAGCTACTAGTACAGCTACTTCAATGTATTTGCAATTGGCACAAATTGACCCAGATTATGTGTCAGATGTTACCAATGATGTTCCTGATGTGTATATTGAACATTAGGTTGTGAACTATTACATTTTATGATTTGCTTTTTATATTATGTTATTACATTTGTGATTTTTCCTTTCTATTTGAGTTATTATTTTTAAAAAATAATAAAAGAGGGGAACTGTTAGGTATTTTAGTACCACGGTTAGCATTTACAGAAGATTGTTTTATACAGAAAAGAGTTGCTCAATAAGGCCCATCTACTAGTTGTTTTTCTCTTTCTCTGTGACCCAAGAATTAATGTGAGACTCACAAGCTGGTACCTCAAGGTCGAAAACACCACAGAGATGAGACCACTTCCTTACTCCCATCCTCCCTTTTTCTTTATCTCCTGGAAAAGGCTCGTTAAAGGCTAGGTGGTTTGTTTCAGAATTCACTGATGAAAGAACTCTGTATTCTATGTCTAGGAGTGTATTTTGCTGGGATGATCATAAATTGTAGCTGAGCTGATAAACTACACACAGGATACTTCTTTGCTCACAAGGCAGGAAGACGTTTCCTTATTTGGTCTGTACCGGTTTGAACTGGGAAAGCTGACACACGAACCTTTTTTCATCTATATAAACTGCTGTGTATCAAATAAACCTTTGAGTCGATTTGGGAAGACAACCTGAAGCAGTCTGTGTTTCCTTGTTCTCCCAAGCTGCTCCCGGCGCTGTAACTAACCCAGCTGAACGGCATACCTGAGTGTTACTTTAAATAATTAGGAATCTTAGAAGGAAAGGACAGAACTCTGCTTATCGCTCACGCCACGGAGGAAAACCGGGATGGCAATTTCCTTCACAGACCATTTACCATCATCTGATCGGTTTTTAAAAAATTATATTCTTTTACTCCTCACTAATAAAGTTTTACAGACCGCTCCCATCACAGGAAAACTGCTTTATCATAGGTTAAAGGTCACGCCTCGCCTTAAAAATAATATTTCCTACAGCACCTGAAAGCAGCACGCCTACCCCCGCCTCCTTCATGGGGAGCCGGGCTGTGATTGGGGGAGAACTGGTGTCATCAGAGGAGGAGGAGCTCGGTAAGAAAGACGCTGCGGTCAGACAGCCGCGGAGAAGAAGACGACGACGTGACCGAGGCGCGTACCTACAGCAGGTGAGTTCCTCCCGTTCGCGCGGGCAGGTGTCAGAGAGACGGGCTGGCAGCGGCAGGTAGCTCACGTGAGGCCGGTGTTCCAGATTAACTGGCGTTTAGATCAACTGGCGTTGGTCGAACAGATGTGTGGCAGTCTTGCGTTTCAGGAGCTGCTACCGACAAACCAGCAAAAAAACGGCAAATGTGTCACCTGTGACACTTGTGAGGTTGTCTCAAACACACTCCGTCAGTCTTGATGCTGTTGAACAACAAAATGTTTAAAATGTGGCGAGTTTACCTGGTGATATCCTCACGCGCGACGCGATCGCGAAAACAGCAAACAAGTAACACCACGCCGATGTTGTTCACAGGACAGCAAGAGTAAACGATCGGGAGACTCTTGTCGTCGTCATCGTTCCCCTCGCACGGTTTATTTCTCCGAATTCAGCGTTTTTGCTTCACAACTAAAGCGTGCTGTTTACTTTGTGCACTAACATGGAGTCGAGTCAACCAGCGCCACCTCTGGCCAAGTGCCACAGCCTACAGCCAGATCAACCTGTGACACACATCTGCACCACGTTTGAATTCGTGTCATGCACATTTGTACCTTTCAATTGTGTCTGTTTGTGCGTCATGCAAATAAACCTTTGAAATGAATGAAATGATATCATGTATTTATTATCAGCCTACATTTGTACAAAATTCCAAATTATATACACAAAGTCATAGAAATCACCACTCCAATTGGTCATCATGATTTTGATATTCTCTTTTTCCATAACAATGAAATACGCCTTGGACAAATATGACACATCAATATTTCATTAGTGTCGTCACATCACATCCTGTAAGCAGAGTCTGTCTGTGTCTTTTCCCTGAAAATGAATATTTCCAGCCAATATAGGCAATTCATCAACATGGCTGGAGTTATATACAGTCTGTATAAGTGTGGTTAATCTAATGAAGATTTGTAAGGAGACGGCAGTTACTGTGAATTCACAGCAGTTACACAGTGATTAGTAATAAACAGCCAGTGAGAGTGAGTGGATATGACTGTTCCCACCACTAACACATGACCATAGCCCACTACTAGATTAACTTGTGACACATCTGCACCTGCTGCTATGATCACAGTGAGTAGAGGCTGAGTGGCTGCACTTACCCCTGGTACATTCAAATCTACCCACAAACATGTTGAAAGATGCAATGGCAGCAATGTGGATTGTCAACACTGAAAACAATCAGTAAGCAAAGACAACAGGGATCATTTGTTTCTGTTTATTTAGCACCCACAACATTTGTAGTCGCCTTCTGCACAAGGGAAGTCCACACACACCGTGTGGTACCACTTTCCACAGAAGGTGCAATCTGCAAGATTGAATGAGATTGTCAGAGTCATTGTCTGACTGTTTATTACTAATCACCTGCTGTACATTCACAGTAACTGCCATCTCCTTATAAATGTTTATTAGATTGACCACACTTATGCAGACTGTATATCACAACCAACTCTAACATGTTTGTTTGCAGAGGGCAGACACAGACAGACTACGCTAACGACATGTGATGTTACAACACTGGTGAAATATTAGTGTGTTCACGACATTTTTCGTATGGGCAAAAGTATTGATATCAGGATGGTGATTCTTATGTGTATGTCATTTGGCATTTTGTACAAATGTAGGCTGATAATAAATACATGATATCATTTCATTCATTTCAAAGGTTTGTTTGCATGACGCACAAACAGACACAATTGAAAGGTACAAATGTGCATGACACGAATTCAAACGTGGTGCAGATGTGTGTCACAGGTTGATCTGGCTGTAGGCTGTGGCACTTGGCCAGAGGTGGCGCTGGTTGACTCGAGTCCATGTTAGTGCACAAAGTAAACAGCTCGCTGTAGTTGTGAAGCAAAAACGCTGAAACCGGAGAAATAAACCGTGCGAGGGGAACGATAACGACGACAAGAGTCTCCCGATCTTTACTCTTGCTGTCCTGTGAACAACATCGGCGTGGTGTTACTTGTTTGCTGTTTTCGCGATCGCGTCGCGCGTGAGGATATCACCAGGTGAACTCGCCACATTTTAAACATTTTGTTGTTCAACAGCATCAAGACTGACGGAGTGTGTTTGAGACAACCTCACAAGTGTCACAGGTGACACATTTGGCGTTTTTTTTGCTGGTTTGTCGGTAGCAGCTACTGAAACGCAAGACTGCCGCACATCTGTCCGACCAACGCCAGTTGATCTAAACGCCAGTAGATCTGGAACACCGGTAGCTCACGTGAGGCCGGTGTTCCAGATTAACTGGCGTTGGTCGAACAGATGTGTGGCAGTCTTGCGTTTCAGTAGCTGCTACCGACAAACCAGCAAAAAAACGCCAAGCGTGTCACCTGTGACACTTGTGAGGTTGTCTCAAACACACTCCGTCAGTCTTGATGCTGTCGAACAACAAAAAGACCAACGCCTGTTAATCTGGATGCTCGAGCAGGAGTTTCCTGCAGAGTGATGAAGAGGAGCAGCAGAACCTACACGTACTCATCAGTTTGTAGCCTACTCGATGAGTCCGATTTAGAACCGGAAAACCGAGGAAGTAAACGTCACCCGATTCTATCTGCGCCACATGTTTGGCGTACCTGTACCTGCCTCACCGCCCGCATGCCTCTGAGCTCACAGCTGATGCGTCGATAAGACCATCTGAGCAGCTCAGGCTCACCTGAGGACACTGCAGGTGAGCAGGACCAGCTTCATCTCCCTGAGAGTGATGCTCAGGTGAGCTCTCAGAAGATGGAGGGGGTGTGGTCTGTGTACACCTGTAGAAACACAGGCTGAGATTAAAGTAGTGGGCGTTATGTAATCAGCAGAAATCACAGCCTGTATATAAAAGATGGCAGCGGTGTGTTTGAAGCTTGGAGCTGAGTGTTGTTGGAGCTTTTGATAGTCGACAGTTTCAGTTTGTGAGACGTCACAGCGTTTATTCTGCAGCGTGGTGCCGGGGGGGGGGTTGACCTCATGGTGCCCCACTGTGGACACTCCCCTATGGACACGCCCCTGTGGACACAGCAGAGTTACTGTTTGTTCTTTTGGCTGAAATTCATTCAAAGGTGTGCTGAGTGTTGCTGAAAAGGAGCAGTGCATGTCCACGAACATGAAGCAGTCGTTTGGATTTCATGAGCAACGAGCAACTAGTCAGTCACTGTTTAGCCCCGCCCTCTGACAGGACCAAAATAGACTTCCTGTTTGATTCAGTCAGACCTGAAAGTAGCGACAGAGCAGAAACTCATCAGGACAGAGTTTACTGAGGTCAAAGGTCAGCTGAGCAAACCCAATTGAATCAGACTTCAGAGTGGGCGCCCTCTGCTGGGCGTCAGAGAGAATGCAGGTTTAAGAAGCTTCAGACCTCTGGGGTGACGACGTCAGGTGTGGTCAACCTGTAGTAGTGACTTCGTGTGTGTGTGTGTGTGTGTGTGTGTGTGTGGCTGCAGAGATGGGGGGTCAGGTGTCAACCGAGGGTGTCCACGTGGTGGTGGTGGGCGGAGGATTTGGTGGAATCGCTGCAGCTCAAGACCTGAAGTATCGAGGATTCAGCTTCACTCTGATCGACATGAGAGACGCTTTCCATCACAACCTGGGCGCTCTGCGAGCCGCCGTACAGCCAGGTACCATGAGCACACCTGTACAACCTGTCCACACCTGTTCTCACCTGTTCTCCTGTCAGTTCTAAAAGTAGTTTCTGGTACTTATATTATCTTCACTTTAAGATGACCTCGTCGACTGTTATTCTTCTATCTTGTTGTGTTTGCTGATTTTATTCTAGATTTGTTATTTTTACACATTTTAATTTTAAAAAAAATTAGTGCTGTGCTGTGTGCAGGCTTTGCTCAGAAGACCTTCATCCCGTACGCCGAGACGTTTGGCGAGAGCTTCGTTCAGGGTCTGGTGGAGCTCGTCGACACAGACAGGCAGCTGGTGATCCTGGAGGGAGGGAGGGTGAGGACCACAGCAGCTCCCTGTGGAGCTTCTTCTGCAGCATGAGGAGGAGGTGAAGCTGCAGCTGAATCTGTGTCGTTTGTGCCGCAGGAGATCCAGTACTCCCACCTCATCCTGTGCACTGGCACCGACGGGCCGTTCCCCGGGAAGTTCAACACGGTGGCGTCGCATAAGGAGGCGGTCCAGAAGTACGAGGACTTCATCAGAGAGGTTCGATCCAGGTTTTACTGCTGTTTGTTTAGAAGTTATTGTTATTTAACCTTTTTTGGTTGAATTTCAAATCTTCATATTTAATAATTTAATACATTTTAGTTTGAACTTCACCAGCAGAAAAAATACTGCCATGGAAAAGTTCATGTAAACGTAGATTTAAAGTATAAACTCTACTCTAAAAAGTACATTAATGTACAAGTTTTATACTAAAGTTTATCTCTGTACTGAAATAGAACTGTCCAGTATTAGTGAGTGAAATTAGTTTTATTTTATTACTTAATATTTTTTCAAAACCGTTTGTTTTATTATTGTAATGTTTAACGCAGATATACATACACAAGTGTTAGAACAGCCCGTGTTTCCAGTTATTTATTGCAGTTCAGGTCCAATGAACAGCTGGAAAGGTGAGTGGTGAACAGAGGCTTAAATAAAGGTAAGGTTAGCTAAAACTGAAAGAGAGTGCACATTTCAGAATGGTACAAAAAGGCCTTTTACAGGAAATACAACACGGGTTAACTGAGTCCTGTGGGACCAACCGGGCGTAGTGGTGGTAGACGACCAGGAGACGGCCGTAGTGACAGATGTAGTGATACTGAACAACAGCAACCTCAGGAAGAAGGAACACGAGAAGCTGCAGGAGTACCAAGGGCTCAGAGAAGAGCTGCAGGAGATGTGCAGGGTGAAGGTGACGGTGGTCCCAGTGGAGCACTGGGTGCAGTGACTCCCAAACTGCGAGAACGACTCCAGCAGATCCCGGGAACAACGTCGGACATCTCTGTGAAGACGAGCGCAGTCCTGGGAACAGCTGAGATACTGCAGGACCCTCAAGCTGCCGGGCCTCTGGTAGAACCGAGCAGGAGGTTTTACTGCAAAGCTGTTTTGCAGCTGACGTGTCAGATTGTGTTTCTCTGTCTGGTTTTTCAATGTTTCACACGACAACAAAAACCCAGAAAACTTCAAGAAGTCAAATTAAAAATATGTAAATTCCTCACGCTGTGTGTGTGTCTGTGTGCGTGCACGTGTGTGTGCGTGTGTGCGTGCACGTGTCTGTGTGCGTGTGCATACGTGGGTGGGTGTCTGTGTCTTTGTGTGCAGGTTCAGGCTGCTGACTCGGTGTTGGTGGTCGGCGGAGGATCGACCGGTGTGGAGATGGCTGCAGAGATAAAGACAGAGTATCCTGATAAGAAGGTGATGACCTTTGACCTGTCTTCCACAGCATGTCTTTGTCCCGCCCTCGCCCCCGTCAGTCTCGCCCTCAGCCTGCTTCTGCTGGAGTCTGCTTCCTGTTAGATTTGTGCGGCCAAGTGCTTACTCAGCCGTGGTCTTCAGATTGGTGGAGCTCCTTGAGCTGACTGCGCTCGAGACTTTGCACTGTATAAATAAAACTGAATTAAATTGACCTCTGACCTCTGCTGCTGCCCTTTGAACGCTGACCCCGCTCTCTCCTCCGCGTCGACCCCTCCAGGTGGTTCTGATCCACTCCAAACTCGGGCTGGCTGACCCGGAGCTGCTGCCCAGCATCAGGCGCGAGGCCAATCAGGTTCTCTTGGAGAAGGGGGTGGAGCTTGTGTTGGGTGAGTTCACGCCTGCAGGTGACGGCTCACGTCAGCTCGGGGTTTGGCTCACTTTCCACCGCCGTGTTTTCAGGACAGAAAGTGAGCAACTTGTCGGAGCTGCCGCTGAACACGATGACGAAGAACACGGAGGTGATCACGGACCACGGCGAAACGCTGGTCACGGATCTGATCATCTGCTGCACCGGGCTCAAGATCAACTCTGCAGCCTACAGCGCCACCTTCAGTAAGAACAGCAAACCCACACGCACGGAGGTCATTTCCTTCTTTCACTCCACGCTGCGGTTTGACCACAGGGTCGCCCGACGTCACTCTTCTTACTTACAGTGTCACAGGAAGTGATAATGCCGAGTCCCGCCTCTGCTAGCCTGAAAAATCACGTAGACATTTATTTTTAACGATGGCTGCATTGATCAGCGACTGGTTTCTGCTCACAGATGACAGTATGGCTGAAAACGGGGCCTTGAAGGTCAACGACCACTTGCAGGTCGACGGTTTCTCCAACATCTTCGCCGTGGGTGACTGCACCAATGTCAACGAGCCCAAGACGGCGTACAACGCCGGCTTCCACGCCGCTGTCGCCGTGGCCAACATTGCCAACAGTGTGAGCGGGAAGGAGCTGACTTCCTATCAAACAGGTATGCGCTCACCATGCCGGGCTGTTGGTCACCTGCCTCTGTTCTCTGGCTGACTCGAGTTCTTCCTGGTTGCTAGGTAACGTCACCATGCTGCTGGCGATGGGCCATGACGACGGCGTGGGTCAATACAACGGCTTCAGGCTGCCCCGCTGGTTCGTCGCCTGGGGAAAAAGTCGAGATGTCCTGGTGTGGAAGAGCTGGAAGGAGATGAAGCAGAAACAGCCCTGAGACTCTAACTCACGCGCATGCACGCACGCACACGCGTGTGCGCATGCACGCACACATGCCAATCATTTATAACTGGGAAGTGCATTTTCTAAAGAAACTGCAGTGTGAATGCTTGAATCTGAATGTATGCACTGAAATGAATTAATTGCTGAATTTTAAGTTAAAAAATTTGAATGAGAAAAAAAACCGAGTTTAATCTGAAAACAAAAGTGCTGAAGTGCTAAAAGCTGACATCCACACAGAAGTTGGAAAATAGCTGAAAATGTTTTAACTGTAAATTAGAAAAACCTAAGAAATGAGAAAATAAAATTTAAAGTCAGAAAACATCTGAATGAATATTAAAAGTTCATATTCTTTTTACTCATTCAGTGATTCAATGTGATCCCTCCACTTGGATCCACACAGTTTAAAACGTTTACATCTCTGAGCTTTGAAAGACTCGGTGTTGGAAAGAGAACAACGATGGCTGTGATTTGAGGATAAAATGATGGCTGTAGAGCAAACACTGGACACAACTTGGAGTCGTATTGACAAAATTCTTTCACCGTGAGCGGCAGCAATGTCCAGTCTACCAAATTCTCAGTTTTCATACCTGTGGAGTTTATTATATGGGCGTGACGACAGTGTAAAGACAGCCTGTACTTCTGATTTTCAAACCAACTTTCTGAGCCCTTTTAACATTAGTCTATGGAAGAGTTGGAGGGAGGAGGCTGTGCATTGGTGACATTTACGAAAGAACCATAACACCTAGTACAATAGTAAACACATTGGATGAAAGAGGACAGCGATGGCTACGTTTTGAGGGTAAAATCATACCTGTAGAGCAAACGCTGCGGACACAGCAGCAGTTTAAAGGAAGATTTCAAGATTAATTTCTTTCCTCCTCTCACGCTAGCGCCAACATTCCGTCCCATACACACATAAACTCTGAAACGGCTGAAAATGTTTTTGTTGAATAAAGTTTTAAGTTGAGCGGTTTTGAAGGAGACAGCATTCAAGCATTCACGTAAACGTCTGCACAGAAACGTTTCTTCAGATCTTGATGAGGCTGCGTGACTCGCTGTAAACTGGGCTCCAGTGGACCCGCCACGTAGCGTTCGTCCAGGATCAACGTCACAACCAGCCAATCAGGTTGTGATGTCATATGTATGGTATGTGGAGGTGAAAGAGAAAAATGCCTTTGTTTATGTAAAAGTATTCTGGAACAAATATTAAACATATGAAATATTTTTTATTAATTTACACTATATGGTAAACATTATCAAGCTAGGTTTGCTGCTAGCCAAATTCAGTTAGCCCTGTGATATCTTTAATAGCATTAGCTAAGCTCTCGGCTTTACATGCTGCCTGCAGGTTCATCACCGCTGCTTTTTTAAACATTAAAACTTTATTAGCATCATAATCCAGACAGCACAGTGACTGTAGCAGGGCCCTCAGCAGACACCTCAGGCCGTCTGGGACATGTACTGTTTTTACACGTTTGCAATAAACGAGTTGAAGAAACGCTGAGTTTGTATCGTCTCAGGAGGTCTGAGTGAAGGTGGAGGGTCAGACCTCACAGCTGAGAGCTGGCCGCTGGTTCCATCATTCAAAGATTTGATTTAAAGTTCTGTTGTTGCCGTCATTCTATCATTTCCTGCTTCGCTGTTCAACGCTGCATCCTCGTCATCACGCCGACAGTTTTCAGGTCAAACTCAGCCGTGTGGTCTTGTGTTCCTTGTCTTATCGGTCACTTGATTCTTTCCCCTTCATCCAGGAGGCTCTAACAGCTGGTGGAGAGCCACCATCATCACACCAGTCATTAAGGTCACATGGGTCAAGGTGTGAGTGAGAGCAGGTGGTGTTCGGCGTGCTTTCTCCTGAAACACCTGGAGCTTCAGGATGACGGTGAAACGTCAGCTGGTGCAGACTTGCTGGTTTCTCTGTGACGAGCAAACTTCAGGGCCGCTCCACGCTGATGCAGCTTCCTGTTTTCAAAGGTAAGGAACCAATCGGGTGCTTTCATTCACACTGAAAGCGTTAAAGCCGCCCGCCACATCCTACAAAAAGAGAAGAGCAGACCTGCACGCACTCACCTGAAGCACACCTGTGTTTGTGGGCTTCCTGCTGCAGGACGCTGAGGACAAACACCTTCACACCTCCATCATCTTCTGTTAAACTTTATTTTTCCTGAATGTGTTTAAGTGAAACCTTCAGGTTTTTATGAATTAAAGCTGTTTCCAGTTTTTATTCCAATGAATTATTGATCACAATACAGAGTTTATGATTCAGAATATAAAAATACATCCTTAAAAACCTGCAAACATCATCGTTCATATGAAGCACAGGATCAGCTGAAGGAAAACATTTCACATTCTTCAATTTAATATTGGGACTGATGCAGAGCCGCTCTGTGTGAAATAAGCCGGTGTAGCTCTGGCCTGCTGAGAGCCCAGCTGCTGCTTCGGTGGTTTGAAGATGATCATCACTGAGACGAACGTTACAGAGAGGAGGAGCTTCTCCACGTAACAGAAGGACACTCAGGTCTATTTGAGGCTCTCACAGAGCAGCTCGCCATGATTCACAGTTCATAATAACCCTTCTTTGTCTCATCCTGATCTTATGTGAAAGTTTCACACGCTGAAGCTTCCACTCAGGAACAGCTGACATCAGAGGAGGCGACGCCAAAGTCACGTGACTCAGACTCTTACGGTCTCAGCACCTGAGAGCCAAACAGACGGGTTTCTACAGGAACCGTTTAAACATCTGCTCATCATGAAACTATAGGGATACAAACAGGAAGTCCTTCAGAATAAAAACAATCAGTCGCCAACGAGCTGCTCACACTGAGCCCGGCTTAGTTTGATCAGGTGAGAAGACACGCTGACGGTCATTCAGGCGACGCTCAGAAACAACGACCCAAATTCCCAAAACACCGACGCAGAACTCGCAAGAAACCGACACATCTACGGAAAAACCCACAACACTACCAACAACATCCCAGAAACCTAAAAGAGAAGAGCACTAACGTGTTAAATGGTTAACTTTGTGCCGTGACCAAACAAGTTTCCCACGTGTGGGACTAACAAAGGTTTATCTAATGGAAAAGAGCCACAGAACAAACAAACACATAAACAGGGTTTTATTTTTTCCCGTCACTGGCTCACAAACCCTTGGCTCCACCGCATCCTTTTGGTCTTAAAAATGTGAAATATTCGATTAATGAACCACGCTGGGACCGTAGCGAGTTCAGCCCGGCCTCCTGACCGCCGGTCTGAATGAGCCGCTTTCACACACGTCACGTTTTTATCCCACCGCTCAGATTTCTGCTTTGGCACAAACATCATCAGTCAGCTGTGTTCAGAGTAAGCAGGACCCCGAGCTTTTCAAAATAAAAGCTCAGAGCTTCAGTGTGCCTTCAGGGACTCGATGTAGTGGAAAGTGGCGCCCAGAGCCCAGCTGGTCTCCACCTGGTTGATGGTCCTCGCAAGCTGGGACACAGACAATGTCAGAGAGGTGAGACGGATCGATGGTTTTAAAGGAATCGATAGAAGCGAGACAGGAAGCTCACCCTGAACTGCTTGTGTGGAGGGAAGCCGAGCTCCTGCAGCAGGGCTGAGATGTAGACCAGGTCCAGACAGAGGAAGGGGCTCCGCTGAGGACCGACGGACACGTCGCTGCACCCTGCAGGGAGAAAAACACCCACAGCGGTCACCGATTAAAAAAAAATCTGCTGATATCAACATTTAATTGGACCTCTGTGGGGTTAGCATAAACTAATCAATCATGTGGACTAGAGTCGGGTCAGAAACACGTTCTGGCTTCATTGATGATGACGGCAGCTCTGAGTGACGTCCAGCAGAGGGCGCCGTCTCACCTTTCTTCGCTGCGTCGGTGTAGTCGGACACTCTGATGCTTCCTCCCTTCTTCTCGTCTGGACACAGAGCACAGAGAGGAGGGTTAAACAGAAACCTGCAGCAGCTCCTTAACACGAACGTTCCCGGTTTTCCAGCTTTTCTGGGATCAGCTGTGTTCAGGAACTGTGGGCTCCCACAGTCAAACGTCATGTTAAAGGTGACAAACGGCAGCTTGCGGGACGGGGGCGGCTGTGAGCCAATCGGCTCTGGTAAACACAAAACAGGAAGTCTGGGACGAGGCTCTGATGAAAGTTGCGCCTACGAGCGATTAAACCCGAGTCAGTGAGCGAACGCCGCCTGAACGTGAAGCTCCAACTCTGACCCTTCCTCACACCTGGTCTGCAGGTAACGCCGGGCCACATTCAGGACGCTCTGATAAATGGGACGCCCCCCGGGGACAACAGGTGTGCCGGGTAACTTCCCCTGTAACGGCGCGGCTTCACAAACGATTCGTCTTCTAAAATCCGCCAAAAAAGAAGTTTGAGTCGCGAACGCAGCAGCGCCGAGCGTTTCTGCGGCTTCAACGGACGCCACGCCCTCGTCGAGGTTTATTTGGCTTCCTGTTTACGCCATGATGGATCAGCCTGACATGCTGCCCCCTGCAGGCGAGCAGCAGAGCGGCAGTATTTCCTCACCGATGGCGCCGATGTCGACGGCGCGGTCATAGTAGAAGGAGAAGGCGTAGAAGTCCATGTCGGTCACGCCGGACGCCTTCGCCACCTTCTGGTACAAAACCTTCTCCACTCTGTTCAGGCACGCCTCGTAAAACGGCTCCCCTGAAACACACGTGCACACAAAAGGTTCCTAACCCCAGCTGCATCATGAGTAACCATGGCAACCACACCACCAATCAGAGATGATCTGCTCACCTGTGCTCTGGCCTTTCACAGTGTAGACCACGTCAGCGTGCTCCCAGCTGCCCGAGTACTCTGGAGCAAGGCAGGGGCTGACCAGCTCCGGGCTGCCCCCTACTGCACACAGACACACACACAGACACACAGACACACACAGACACACACACACAAAAACACAGACACACGTTTGTCTGTTTATCTCATCTCAAACCCGCGAACAGTAAAACAACGACACACGGCCCTGCAGTTCCTCCGACCGCCAGCAGAGGCAGCGGTGAGGTTATTGCAGTGACGATGGCTCATGTTTGCAGCAGTTTGCTTGCACACACTTCCTGCTTTAGCCAAATGCTGTCAGTCTGCTACAGCAGTTTTCCAAAAAGTCACAAATATATGATGTGTGGTTAAAACGGTCCCAGCAGGACGCCTGAACGCGACACTGCCACGGACACGGCGATGCCTGCGTGCACATAAACAGCCCGACAGCAGAGAGGATCTGAGCTGCAGCTTCTTGCAGCAGTTAAACCGCAGCAACAGCTGGCCAGCAAGGAATTAATCTTGCAGTGTGTTATTAAAAGA